ACTAATACCATTTCAATCGGCGACGGATATGCTATACAATTGATTTTTAAAAGTACGACAGTTGAGTTGAGCTCCGTGATATGGCTGTTAGGACAGCTGATTGTAATACCCCCTAAGTTAGCGTCACTGTGTCTGCGTCAAAAAGATGACAATTCGGTCGGAAAAGATGCGCAAGCAAAGAAAACTTAAACTAAACATAACGAATTACTCCAAATTATACACAAACTGTCCAGAATTATTCAGAATTATGAGATTTATTGATTTGTGAAGAAAAATAATAACAAAAAGCAAGAGAACGTTGGTTTTAATTTTCCCGGGTACCAAAATAGTGGCAAATACCGAAGTTGCGTCCAGGTCAAACCTCATACTTGTGATTGCCATTAGATGAGCGCATTGGATTGTGGGAAAATCAATGTTTATCAACACAAATGTCGCACATGCGCAGCGCGACGACTGCCGCCCTTCAGATGTGACGAAATATGTTTTCTACATCACATTATAAATGACATACTCAGGCTGCCTTTTAAAGATATTAAATAGCAGCGGATTCTTCTACCCACGTCATTTAGTTCAAATGTACACTCTTATCTGTTTCAAGGGGAAACATTGCTCATCATTTACAACAATAATTGTTTTCATCTAATTTGCTTGATGAGCAAAATTGTGCTTGTCATTTTCCTACCTCCGTGCTGTGGCGACTTTCTTCGTCGGGGTGGTTACGAATGAGGAGCCTGAGTATCAAGTCGTTTCGTGAACTGAACAACTTGAAGGGACGTTTAGCAAAATTGTTATTGAAATAGTCGACCAAATATTAATAAGAATGGGGATCAGATAAAAACATCATGATTTATACAGTGTAAACGTGCGTGTAAGTTTGTAATCGGCGAGTGTAACCTGGCAACGGGTGGCAACATCACGCCTGTCTCATATAATACAGCGCGGCGTCCTTGATGTGTTTACACTGTTTATTATTTGGGTAGACATTTGTTCTAGGTGAGAGAACTGTTAGCTAATTACGTGTACATCCAGGTGTTTTTCACCTTGGATGGGGAGGACAGCAGAACGATTTGACTCCAGAAACTAGTCTCCTGTGGCTGGGATTTGTTAGACTTTGCATACAGTCTCTTGTTTATTTTTTGTTGAAACCCGAATTTCGCGGCAACTCGCGTTTCGACATTTCTAAATTCCAATAACATATTATTATATTGAAAACAACAACAACAACAACAAATAAACAAGACACTGTATGCAAGTATAGTTTCTGGAATGTTACGACGTTCCCGTTTGTATAAAATTTGACAGTTTCCGGTAGCCCTAATCGATAAAATGAACTTAGTTATGATGTTTTATTTAAACAAACCTGATAACAATTAAATTAGCTTTCTTTTTGGTATTTGACACATGCTCAGATTTATTTATTTTTGTATACAGATTTAGGATAAAGAAAATCGTATAGGTTATTATCACATGGCGGGTTTTCCGCGTCGAACAGGTATCACCGTGACCGTCATATGCCTATCAATGGGCTCACTTCCTCAGGCTGTATCAATGTGGACGGTGTCCCATGGCGTATACTTGAAAACTATATTACCTTATTTAATAACTTGTTATCTTTTGAATGTTAGTATCAGTATAACCATGGCAACGCTTACTAGCCAAATAAGCGTTCCGTAAATTCAAACAAAACTACATTCGTTTTTCTCAAACCATCAAATGTGACTGCGCATCTCAGTTTATTTATATCAACGATTCCATTTTGTCCACTGCAACGGTTATCTTCACAAAAACAAGTATCAGTTTTGGAGTCCCCCAAAGGTCACAATAGAAATAAAATTGATACGACGGTTCCCTGAAATCACCATTTTCATTGTTGCAAAACGTAGCGTGATTCTATTTATGTGTATCTGTATCTGAATTTTATGTACATGTATAAGTAAAAAGTCTAATGGCACCCATGCCAACAACTTGAAGATTTTATTTTATTATTTTGTCAATGAAAAGGCATATAATGCAAATAATATAAATAATTGATCCCGTGAAAAAAAACAGTATGCGAATCTCAAAACTCCAAGTTTACATGTAAACTCCGGAAAATTGTTTCCTACACAGTAACCAAGAATACCGAGACGCTAATTGACCTTACGTGAACTTTTCGAGTTCAGTTGGCCGACCGTACTATAGAGGCTGGTACTGTAGAGCATGCTGGGTATAGAACTTATGCTCAGGCTTGTAAACTAGGAATTGAACAGTCTCTGTGATAGTAATTAAAATAAACCCAATGTACTAACGGCCGTTCCACTCATTTCAGTTCTGCAAATTCCATTGCTTGAATCCGGGTCAATGTTCTCCGAGCAGCCACTTAAAATTAAATGAGACGGGACTATAAACTATAAAAGACAATAGAAAGCATGTTTCCTGGAGCCTATGACTTTCCAATTTCAGATCGACCGTGACAACCATCGTCCTTTAAAATTTCTGTGAAATGCCCACATACCTATATATGCCCTGGAATGACTTGATATTTATAAAAAATTAGAATATTATAATTATAAATCTTATTAAAGTAAAATTGACAATATTCCGAGTTGTAACCCAGCCACTTCCGGCAAAGGGAGAAAGTAATGAAAGTGCGTGTTTCTTCTTCTAGACTATCGATAAAGAGCTATTTCATTTAGAACAACGATTACCAAATATTATCTACAATATATCTATCCTACAACTGACGGGCGTTTATAAACTACTAGTATTATAGTGGATTTCCCAGGGGTCAGGCGTTGATGACTGTTTACGATTTGGTCAGTCCTTTTATTGCGCAGCATGAATTGTGTAATGTTATGCAGCTATAACATGATATTGTTGTTGTGTATTTGTACTTGGGCCCGGAAAAATAAATAACATAGGAACTATTTACCATTAACGTTGTTTTTCAGTGACAGCATTCAACCATGGAGGTATAAACATAGCCATGAAATGTACGTACAACATCATTATTGTTATTATTTAGAAACGATCACGCGTTCAACAAAGAAACAATGATGTGTTACAAAAACACATGAAAAAAGAAAGAAAAATAAACAAACACTCAAACTGGCTAGAAGAATAAAGTCATAAAATTTAACCTCACTTATCCTTTCGTGGACATATTTTTTCCGTTGGAATGTTGCTGCAAAAATTCAACTACACATTCTATGGACCAAATCATTCCCCGTTATATACAGGTCCTCGTCAAAAATGAAAATACTTATTGCGGGTTTATTTTGTTAAATTTTCGGAAAAGGTTTACGCGAAGCGTCTGCCCCGCAACTTGAACACCGTCCAGGGCCCGACTCAGGATGCTATACATAAAACTAGTTCGAATAAAAACCAAAAATGGCAAACCAAAAGATTTTCCGCTTTTTTTAGAAATTTGGTAGTTTACGCTATAAAGGGCAAAGTAAAATGGAAAATAACGTCGTGTCACAAACACGTACAAGGTAGTTCATCAACAAAAAAATACTTCAATAAAGTGTGTGCGCGTTGTCCTTGTATTAGGACAGGTTATGATTTAAATCTAAAATGCAGTTGTTTTATCGACAGGTATTAAAAGCCGCTGTGCAATTGAATGGATTTACTATTTGATGCCCTTGGAGAAGAAGAGACCTTGAAAAAGGCGGCACGACCTTGAATGGAAAAAAATCATATACAATCACATTGCTCTTGCCTTTAACAATACAGTACTACGCAATATGCTTTCAATAGTGTCAATAACATTGAAGAATCAGTTTACATGTTGAAATTTCTGACGGCTATTTCGTCGTGTATACCGATCGTGCAAACGGCGCGGGCAATGACACTGTGGGTATTCCCCGACACACATGACGAGCACATGACCTAACTGGTGACAGGCAGTTCTCGTCACCATTGGCTTACAATACAAAAGAGACTTTAGGAGATTTTACCCTCTGATCAGAGCAAAACAAAGTGTAAATCGATATTTTTTTCAAACAGTTTCTATTTTTCATATTTGCAAATATAAAAATAATATAAATGGTGCCTAAACCCAAGTTTCGGGGATGATACTGCTGGGAAAAGGGTGCGAACGTTTGCAAAATACACACGATTTAAACATTAGAGCTTCATGCTAATTTTGTGGGTCAAATCAAAATGGAAATTTGCTAATCTACATAAACACAATCAACCAGTCAGAGACAGCCTAATCGGATATGTCATCATCCGTACAGAAAAACGTTTTTGCCCACGTTGCAAATTCCAGCATGAAATAAACCACGGAGCGAGTAACAGTGTATTAGTTTGTTCCTCAAATTTCTTCTTTCGCAAACGGATTGCGACTGCTAGCGAACACGGATTACACAAAATGACACTCGAAGACGGCGAACAAACACAACAGCATCGCACAGAGTGAGTAGATCATTTTATTTCTGCTTTCCATCTCGTATTCGACTCGCTCCATGTCTACGTTGGATGACTCAACGTTTTCAAAACGTTTCGCCATAACAATGCCGACCGCTTCGCCAGTGAGTTGTGCGCCAGCCGGCCCCAAAAACGACTTGATTCGAGAGTATAGTCTGAAAATATAAGCTTGTTTTAGCGAAAAAAAAAACATCGTTATCATCATCTTGTCGAAACTGTCATCATGCTAGTTGTTCTCGATCGACAAGAAGTGGCATTTAAAAACTTGCATGTTCCGACTTGCTCGGCGTAAATATGTATGATGTCAAGACAACCTTGCTTTCTTGCACCATGCATTACGTTTATGTAGCCGGAAAAATGTGAAATCATGATTGTTTCTATTGAGAAAAATCCGTTTTAGGTGGTATAGTTTATGAACAAATTTCGAAACGCGAGGTACATGCAATCCGTCAGTGGTATTGCATACCGGGTCACGCGCACGACGTAAGTGGTGGAATCTGATGGGCGGGGTAGTGGGTCGAGTATTTCCGGTAGCACCTAGTTTTCTAAATAACTGCGTACCAGCCGACTGCACTAGTGGGCGGTCAGACCACTTCCGCAGATCTAGATCGAGCGCAAAAACGTTTATTTGCCGCGTTTATGTGATGGATTTCCCTGTGTCGGTAAAGACTAATTCAGTAATTGTTTCAGGACGTCTTAATAGCATGGTGTCACCGATACTTCCGCATAAATTATACTAGAAAATTGTCATAGCGGGAAAGATGTGTACACGAATTATTTTAATTCAACAGGAAACATAAGTTAACAATCTGTTTTCTTGGCTTTTACAGTAATTCTCAGATGGATATCGCTGAAGCACTCTCCCACGTTTTGGGGAAGGCCAATGAAGAGGACAGACTTACAAAGGGAATTTACGAGTGCGCGACATTGCTCGGAAAGTGAGTATCCATTGTTTGCTTGAACTCGTTAATGTAATACCAAGAAACGTCGTGTTGACGTGAGCCGGACATCCTGAAATGGAAAATTGTGAAAAAGTTGGCTTTCTGCCAGGTGATTTCAAATGTATTCGCTGATGAAGGGTCATAGTTGCTACATACAGTGAGTTTACTTCTGTTTTGACAACATGTTGCTCGTTTTGCGAGGTAAATATTCTGATGTTTCAGAAGACGGTAGTAGTAATGTGTGTATTGCATCATTTCAACAACTACGCAGTTTATTTTGCTGCATTGACCATGGCATGCTATTGTAGACAATTGAAAGTTAATTATTATTAGGTAGCCAGAAAAACTTCATAAAAAGTTAAGTGTTGCTTACTTGGTTGTGTGTAAACAATTTTTAAAGTCAAGGTCATGTACAGTAATTGATTACAATTTATAAACTTGTCTGTCTCCAGACTATTACATCAATGGTTTTAATAAGATTTTCGTTATGTTTTACAGAGACCCGGAGAGTGTTTTTCTATGTCTGTTGACTGATAACTGTACTGGCGATGTAGCGTTGCATATGCATTTCACGTTGATGAAAGCCTATTGCTGGGAGAACGAAATACGACTGATGCTGGTAAGTGAGAAAGTTTTGACATAAAAAAAAAAAAAATGATTGCATCAGATACAAATAGAAAATGACTTAATTATTACCCTGGATTTCATAGTGCATAGGTGTAATTGTTTGGGTGTGTCCCATTGGCATTGAGCTTATACTTAGGATATTAATATGCAAGTCCTCAGATAAAAAATTAAAAATTACTTCACAAAGTTTGTTCTAATTTACAATTCCTATTTTGGACTTGTGGGGGCTGGATGATGTTTATTGCTAGCATTCAATAGTAAAATAGCTGAGTAAAAGAAAAAAATTGCTGACAGACATTTTTTTTTTCAATTGTTTTGGTCAAAGGCCCTCACCCCTGCCACTCTTTCAACAATACTGGAATCAATTCTGCTGCATCAACAGTATTTTAGATATGGTGTTTTCCCAACTAGATTGTTTGCATTCAAGATAACAATTATTGCATTGAACTATGCAAATATAATTTGTCTCGTTTGCAATTTAAAAATGACTACATTAAAAGAGAACAATGTCGAAACATTTGCACTAAGCTAAGGTGTGGTCGCAATGCAAACTAGTTTTTAATACAGTGTAATGGAAAATTAGGATAATTGGTATGTTTTTTTGGGTGTGGTTCATTTCCGAATTGGTTTAAACCTGCATAAATTGTTGCAACCGATAAATATACCTCTTTGTTAGCTCCTCCATCTGTCAGGCGTTTGTCTGGGTTAGATGATGTGATCATAAATCAAAGCCATCTCAGATCAGTCTATTAACTATTTTTTACCCCTACTTTAAAATTACCTTATTTAGGTCATGTTTCAGGTAACCCCCTCCCTTCCCCCATAAAATAAAGATTTGGAAAAATATCTGATTGATGTTAATTATGATTTTTAGAAAGGGGGATGGTGATGTAATCAGAAACGGCTTTAACATAAAATGTATTCGCTGAAACAGGACGCTGTGACATCAGAAAGTTTGCCACAATGGTGTCAGTCACGACTTGTTGCACACCCTTTCACATCTGTCCACATGCCATTAGCAATGTAGTGTCCTAAATCAGAACAGAGGGGTGTCAGTCTCTTTTGTGTTGTTTGTATTTTGTTGTAGTTACTCCCTTCCGTTGACGTCAATTGTCTCATTTGCATGACAATAGCTTTGACTGAGGTGACCTTTTTATGAACAGGGGGGCAAAGAAAATAGCCTTCGTTTAAGAATGTTATTGTACTATGTTTAGAAACCCAGATTCCAAAAATAACTACTGCAAATTAAGCTATTGTAGGTTTCTTGCTCATCTGATGTAAATAGACCTGTTGTTTCCATGGTAACAATACTAACATTGTCCATGCTGTTTGTTACCACACCTGCTTCAGCTTAAATAACACAAATTCTAAATTTAGCAACAGTATAAAAATAAAATAAAAAAAAACACTTAAATTGTACTGCTTGAAAAGCCTTTCCATTATGAGGTAGAATCTAAATTCATTTTGTAGCAGAATGAAAACATGTTTGTAGAATGTAAATATATTTTGCAGATAGTAATTCGTCCTGATTATGTTAGTATGTAATTGTGGCAGCATCCTAGTTTTGTGAAAATCACTGCAAAATAAGAAGAAAAAAGAAAATTTTAGAATGGTTATTATCTGATCTAGTGTGCGAGAAAGACTGCTGAAATTGGGAAAATTTTTCTAATTGCAGTTTTTCTTTTTTTATTACAGATTGAAGATTATGAAAACCTTGTCAAGTTGCTTAGCAACAACAATAGTGCAACGGGTGCTGCTGCCCTGGACAATGGCGAAGCTACTGTGGACAACGTTGAAGATACCGTGGACAATGCTGAAGCTCCCATGGACAACACCCAAGCTACAGTTGAAAAAGAGGGCATCGAACAGATCACCAGCGATGCGACGAAGTTATGCTGCTTGATTGTTCAATATCCATCGGCTGCAGAGAAAGATGTCGCCATGGATACAGTCTTACAACATTACACAACTATGCTAAATGTGACACCGTATCCCGCTGTTACTCTCGGAAAATGAAGACAGGCAATACGAAAATGTAAGGGCTGTTAATGTTTTACTCTTGTTAGTGATCGGTGTTGTAATGCATAGTTACTGTATCAGTTATTCACCAAATATTACAAGAAACTTATCTTTGTTCTTGTTCTTTCCTTCTGCAGAAGGCTGCCACTGTTGCTAAGTAACCTGGCCACCTCTAGGTATAACCGACTGTTGCCATGGCCGTTGCTTCACTTGTGACCTGCCAGATCAGTCCCAAATGTGCTGCCATTGTCTCGTGTACAAGCACGCAAAATGATCCGGTCTATTCACGCACATCTAAGAAAATGACGACAGATAGAAGATTTTATATGGCTGTACAATCATCTCGGCTACTAATCATTAATTCTGAGTCATTATTTATGCAGAAATTCTTTTTTTGTCAGTGCATTTAGAATGCACATGAAGAACAAAAAAACACATTAAAATGAAGAAAAAGAAAGTGGTGAGAAAAAACAATGTATAGTCGTGAAAAAAAAACCTGCTTAAAAACAAAACAAAAAAACACTGTCTCTTTAGGATTAAGAGTCAATGTACAAGGCTTTGTGATGACTGAAAACTAAAATGCACTCAATAAGTCACAATAAAATGGGAATGAAGTAATAATGAATGTCAAAATTTGATGATCCAGTATGATTTGGAGAAAACTTTAACATTCAAATATGAAACGTTTAGTCATAAACACCTCAGCTGTCTTTACAAATTTATCAGGGAAGTCCATATTTTATCGATATTTTCATTAGTGTATGCATATATTCAGGACATTTTACATATACATTCTTTTCTTCGATCAAATACTGTAAACAGTCAACATTTCGCTGTTAACTGTTGTCAAATTTCTCCATCAGGCATATTGATGGAAGTTCAGGTGTTTTGGGAAATTTGTGTTTTGCAAAATTAGAGGTAGTTATAGTTGGGTGCGTTCTTGTTTAACTCAGTATTAGTAACTTTGAAGGCTTTGTATTTATTGTTTTTAAAGTTTTTTCCAATAACAGTTTTATCTTGTAACATCTTTCTTGCTGTGCATCGAAGGTGTGTATATTAATATAACAATAAATATTTGTTTTAATTTATTACACATTTAATATGTGTATCAAGGAATGTTGTCATCATCCAATCAGAGCTTGGTGAAAGTCTCAATCTGGTGCTGCCCTTCCCCCTGGATATGAGGGGAGAAATCATGTTCTGATAAACTTTAGTAAATTGTATCAATTTCATAGTTCTCAATATATTTTGTGTGTCTATAAAGTATTTAAATTATTTTAACTTTTGACAATTTTAACAATAAACTTGTAATTTCATACTGAACTTTTTATCTATGAGAGTTTCACTTTCCTCCGCCCCTGTACTTTACAAAGCATGGTTGTGAAGTGGTATGTGTGGTACCACATTCGTACCCTTCAACTTTTCTAACTTAGTGAAATGGTTGACTACATCCTTAGTGAAAGTAAAGTGCCCACCTATGCCTTGGTGGATTACACCCTTAGTGAAAGTAACATGCCCACCCATGCATTGGTTGACTACACCCTTAGTGAAAGTAACATGCTCACCCATGCCTTGGTTGATTACACCCTTAGTGAAAGTAACATGCTCACCCATGCCTTGGTTGACTACATCCTTAGTGAAAGTAACATGCCCACCCATGCCTTGGTTGATTACACCCTTAGTGAAAGTAATGTGCCCACCCATGCATTGGTTGACTACACCCTTAGTGAAAGTAACTTGCCCACCCATGCCTTGGTTGATTACACCCTTAGTGAAAGTAATGTGCCCACCCATGCCTTGGTTGATTACAACCTTAGTGAAAGTAAAGTGCTCACCCATGCCTTGGTTGATTACATCCTTAGTGAAAGTAACATGCCCACCCATGCCTTGGTTGATTACATCCTTAGTGAAAGTAACATGCCCACCCATGCCTTGGTTGATTACACCCTTAGTGAAAGTAACATGCCCACCCATGCCTTGGTTGATTACACCCTTAGTGAAAGTAAAGTGCCCACCCATGCCTTGGTTGATTACACCCTTAGTGAAAGTAAAGTGCTCACCCATGCATTGGTTGACTACACCCTTAGTGAAAGTAACATGCCCACCCATGCATTGGTTGATTACACCCTTAGTGAAAGTAACGTGCCCACCCATGCCTTGGTTGATTACACCCTTAGTGAAAGTAAAGTGCTCACCCATGCCTTGGTTGATTACACCCTTAGTGAAAGTAACATGCTCACCCATGCCTTGGTTGATTACACCGTTAGTGAAAGTAACATGTCCACCCATGCCTTGGTTGATTACACCGTTAGTGAAAGTAAAGTGCTCACCCATGCCTTGGTTGATTACACCCTTAGTAAAAGTAACATGCCCACCCATGCCTTGGTTGATTACACCCTTACTGAAAGTAACATGCCCATTCATGCCTTGGTTGATTATATCCTTAGTGAAAGTAATGTGCCCACCCATGCCTTGGTTGATTACACCCTCAGTGAAAGTAATGTGCCCACCCATGCCTTGGTTGATTACACCCTTAGTGAAAGTAAAGTGCTCACCCATGCCTTAGTTGATTACACCCTTAGTGAAAGTAATGTGCCCACCCATGCATTGGATGACTACATCCTTAGTGAATGTAACATGCCCACCCATGCCTTGGTTGATTACACCCTTAGTGAAAGTAACGTACCCACCCATGCCTTGGTTGATTAC